AGAGAGAGAGAGAGAGAGAGAGAGAGTGAGTGAGACAGGCAGAGAAAGATTGAGTGAGACACACAGATAGGCAAAGGTAATGACAGACAGACAAATGAAAAAGATAGAGAAAGATAACAAAAAAACCAGACAACGACAGATAGGGAAAGAGAATTCCATTAATGCATTGGTATCTTGGTAATTAATTTCTTACTCTAATTAGTAAGAACCTCCAACCACCTATCCCCTATATATTTCCCCGGCCCGCCCGAAACCGACCAATTAAAAGGAATTATAAAATGGAAATGACATAGAACTAATAATCTTGACCTTTTATCTTGACCCATGTGGAGCTCAGCAGAATTAAAGTCAGGTCAAAATACTATTTTCTGCTCAGGTGAAAATCCTTATTCATATTTCAAAAGATAGAGATAAGTATAGCTCTACACATTTCTAAACAGAGAACTGGGACAATAATTATCGTCAGCATTCACTCAGTAAGACAACCCATGAGGTGACAAATCTGTAACAAGGAAACTACTTACTAAAAATCTTATCAATATTGATTAAATGAAATCTTCCATATCTTATCAACTTACATGGATATGTCTACAACACTGCAAAACTTTAAAAAACTAACTTTACAGTCAGCACAATAAGAAGTATCGTCACAAGCTAAAAATAAAGGAACCATGAACAGACCATTTACATATATATAACCTCCAAGTACTCCTTTCTTCAGAAATCTCCAAAATTTCCAGGTAACCGACATCCTAATATGACACTTCACAAAAACACAAGCCTGTACCACAGTGCAAGCTGAGAAACTGTAAAACTGTAGCACAGCCCACAAGCAGCAACTTCAAAGACTCCACTTTATTCAAAACAACTCCATTTTTTCAAACCCAATTTCACGAGGACTTCTGTTTACAGCACACGATGTGCATGATACTCATCCTACATACTAACGTATTCATGGGCTTTTATGATAAAAGTAATTGCCAGTTTGACCATACAGTGACCCCAGCCTGGGACAGAACTTGGCAATTTCAAACAATGTATGTTACTATGCCATTAATCCCTCATGTTAAGAAAATGAAAATAAAGAATCATGGTTAAAAGACAAACCCTATACTTGTACAAACTCTCTGCCTGTACAAATATAGCCAGCTTAAAGTAACAGACCAATAAAAATGTTACAGCTGTACATTCCATGGCATTTTTCAGCTAAGTTTTCTTTATCTCAGGGCACATCCATGTTGGAAAGCACACAATATCTATAATTTGGTGGTTTAAATTGACTGAGATAGGCTAAAAGAGAACTTCTATAACAAATTCTAGAAAAATTAATTAATCATGAGTGCCGTGCAACTAAAACAGTAAGTAGTTCAAAGAGTGAAAATATTACTTTTACATTGGTTTGACAGCTGTTCAATGACATAAGCTTTCGTGTAAAAGTGAATGAAGCAAAAGTGCAAGAACAAGAACATGAGAACAAAGATTAATACAGAAAGATTAGAATGAGCAAGCTCATAGGTAAATCAACTTCTTGTTAAAAAAAACATAAAATGGTCAGAACTCAGAGCAAAAGACAGCGAAGCATATATAACATAAGGTAAAAATCTTGTGTTCAGAAACAAAACATGAGCTCAGGGCAACCATCTTATACTGCATTTAAAAAAAACCTTGCAATGCTCTTTTCACATTTTAGTAATTAATTCAATCATACTCACACAAGACCAGCTATGATAGAATCGTCTGAAGTGACTTATCACAACAGATAGTATGTATAGAAATACTACAATACTGTCATAATCTTTTCTCTTTTTCTTGAGGCAGTCTTTGAGTAAAATATATTGGTGCTGGTCTGCTCAACTGTCTACTGCAATAATGCATTCAACCATTAGTCCCACCTGACTGACCTGTCTACCTGACAATATCCTACAATAATGCGTTCAACTGTAAGGCATGCCCAGGGTAATTTTATACATCTTTGTACCATCACCCCCTCATATCCTGAAGCAATACTTTTAGGAAATCTGGGTGCAGCCCCCCCTTCGTAAAATCAAACTGCAACTACAAAAACATTTTCAATACAGCTAACATTAACAATAGTCTCACACCCGTATAAAACGCAGAGGGAAAATGTATCCGTATTATGGATTATTGTAGACTAGTAGACTATCCCATGGAAAAACTATCAGACTAGTCTGGCGGTAGACCCTCAAGTAGTACAGAAACATTGTGGTAGACTGTCAGGTGGACTCACATTAACAAATCATCACTTCTCAATGCTCTGTCAGCCACTGCCTTCACCAAACACACATCGATAAAAAGAATAAAATAAGTCTTGTAAAATGTGTGCAATCTATGACTGATCACAACTTTCTTCAATAATGACTTTGTTTGGTCCTTGACAATGTATGTTCTTATACTCAAAACATGGCAACTTTTAGGATCTTTGGTTTAAAATCAAAAGGGGAAAAAAAGTGTCAAAGATAATTTGACTAAAATGTTCAAAATGGTCAATGTTTCTGTGGTTACCATACAAACTGTGGAGTGAACTCTTAACTCTTTATCTCCGGCAAGCTACTCCCAGCGGTTCGCGGTCTGAAACCCTGTGCCGGTGAGCCGCTGACAGCAGCTCGGGCGCATTCCTTTATGACTTCGACATCAAATTACTTTTCAGCAATGGTTGAAAACAGGTCTCTTTTAACGGGAGTTCATTCATTAGATGAACTATCAAAATAAGCTCACTTGTTTTTATTTAATGACCCATTTAGTGAAGATTTGTGAAATTTTTAGATTTAGTATTAAAAAAGGGCCCCGGCACAGTGGGTTTACCCTCCACGGAGATAGAGAGTTAAAAATGCTAATTGGCTCTTTTTGTAACAATGATATCAAACAAGCATAGTAATTGAAATGATGGTTTTTCACTCTGTGCAGACTTATGAACTCCATTGCATCCTCCAAATCTGGTTCCCTTCCATTTTTTTCTTCTACTGGTTCACAGAGAAATTTTAGAAAGAGCTACAACTTGCACAGTTGCTTCTTCTTAAAAAGTGAGAGGGAGTCTTGTGCTTAAATCTCTCTTGAGTGAACATTTTTATCTTGTCTATGTCTGTACAAATGTATACGGGAACAATTCAGCAATGAAGGGGTTAAGAGCACCTTTTCCATGGACATGCTTTTAAAAGAGTTCAAGGGCGGCTCTTGTGGCCTAGAAGTTAAGGTGTTTGCCTCTCATTCACTAGGCCCCGGGTTCGAATCCGGATAGCGACGGGAAATTTTTCTTCGCTAAAATTTTCTCCTTTTACATCCTTTCCAGCTCTGTAACAAGGTTCTGTCATCTGCTTTCGTCTCCACTTTCTGCCCCCACCCCCCCTGTCTCCATTGACCCCTCCTCTGGGCTCCCGACTCTTTCTGCAGTCTTCCTACTGCTGCTCCTTAGCTCCTTCTTACTGCTGTCTTTTAACTACACCCTTGATCTTCTGGTAGGAAAAATCTACAACTAGCCTTCTCGGATAAGGGCGAAAAATCTCTGAGGTCCCGTGTGCAAGTTGTGTAAGTTAAAAATCCCTTGGTTGTCCAAAATCGATAAGAGTAGGCTTTGGACGCCACCAGGGCGAACTTCAAAATTTCCTACTAACTGAAAATGTTTAATGTGTCCCGCACACCCATATGACCATATGCAGTTGCGAGCACCATAAAACACTTACCAAAAAAAAAAGTCCAAAGACGGCTTTTGAAAATTAAACCAACAATTGGTTAATGTCTTGAAAAAGATAAAATGATTCTCATATGAGAAATGTAAGCACAGACTTCCTTCAAATCTGATTTTTTATAAGGTGCGCTACAGAACAAAATTACAAAAGACACCACAGCCAGAAAGATACCAAAAAGCACTGAAAGCCACAGAAAATATTGTGAACGTTATTCTGATGGAAGATGCCAATGTCATAAAAATATGGAAAAAAACAACCGAACCCACACAAATTCATCCCATGGAGCACAGAAAATTCACAGACAAGACAAAAGTGTTGGTAGAGAACATTGTGAATCTTTTGAGTTACCTACCAGACAGTATCTCACAAAGCCAAACTCTCCTTTCTCCCAGTAGTAGCTAAAGTGGCCAAATCCTGTGAGAAACAGGTAGGACGACACCAACACCCGAATGTGCATGTAGATAGGGAGCACCTGATCAGAGGAAATAAAATTTAAAAAAACAACAAATTAATCTATTTATTTAAAAAATTCAAATATAAGACATCATTTGTACAATCCAGTTAACTGGCCAGAAAACTGAAATTTACTGAAAGATTTATCAAACATTAATTCTTTCCAGACATATCGCCAGTGTATCGGCAAGAGTCTTCACAACTTGCGGACATATCACCACAATATATCGACAATGATGAGATGCCTCAGTTTCGTTTCGTTTTAACATGATCCGATATTTATAAGGATTTATTATTGCTACTAGAAAACTTGGAAAGGATTACGGAAATGAAAAAAAATCTAAATTTCTCTTTATCAAAGCGTCAGTTTGGCAATAAACAAGGGAATTCATTCTTGCAGTCTTGCACAAGGGAATAAGGTAACCGCACTCAGTAGAAATATCATAACTAAAACAAAAATTGGAATATTGCTTTCAAATAAAAAACAATACATTCAGAATTACATTGATTTTGCTCCTGGAAGTGTCCGATTATTAGCTATGCCGATTTTCTTTCACATGTTTGGTGAATGTATATTTTTACGTCAAAATTTTTTTCTCATCACCCTCACCAATTCTACCCTGTTATGCATGCCTTTGTTAAAAATTAATCCTTGTTTATGTCTGAATGTATTCCTCATTCAATTTCCTTCAATTTGATATATCACAAGTGGCCTTTTGAGTTATGTCTGTGCTTATATGACTTTATTTTGTACACCAGCTGTACAGCCAAATCGAGTCAAAAATTAGATTGCGTCTAGAACTTCAAAAAACTATGTCTGGAAAGAGTTAAACAGTTGTAAGAACAAACATGAAAACAAGCAAGAGTTTGAATTTGATTTACAGAGCACTTCAAAAACATGTCGATGGTCAAAGAAAATTCTCTAACAAGCATTTGAAACGACAGAAATTAACACTTTGCAGTCACACAGCCAGAAGTACAAAACACCCCATCTGGTCACCCAGCCAGGAAAGTGACTGCAACGGACTCCTCGGGCCTGGAAAAACGGATAATTTTCACTGCTGCATTATAGTGCAAAGTGACCGCAAAGTGTTAAGAGAAACGACAGAAAGCCTCCCATCAACGTTAGACACAGTTCATGGCCTTTGACAACCAAAGCCCAGTGCTGTTACAGAAGTACAAAACTTCGACATCGCAAGTGAATGAAATTAAAGTGGTCTTTGCTTAAGATCCAGGTTCTCTTTTTCTTATGAAACACTATTCCTATAATAGAAAAGTCTCCCCACCCTCCCTACAACATCAAGACAATGAACTTTATGCACAAATCTTACACCATGTGAACGCAGGGCGAAAGGCTTCAGTATGCAGTGCTCACCTTGCTGGCTCCAGTGAGATGGTAGATAAGGATTACCAGCTGCATCCAGCCCTTCCATTCGTCTGTCTGATCTTTGTTCAACACATTCATCTGCAAAAAGCAACAAAACATCACCCCAAAAAACAACCTTTAAAAATTGTTGTGCAGAAGTTTTACACTTCATCTGTTCAGAAAAGCAACACATGTGGGCTTAAAAGATAAAAACATTGAAATGTGTTTCCAAACTACATGTCCATTGTAACTCCCATACATTATTTAAAGGGAACAAGAGATATTAATTGTCCATTTTTCAACCATTCAGTAGTAGAACAGTGTAACTTGATAAGAAACTGGCTCCTTTTGTAAAAATTGTTAGTTTCATAATAAACTCAAAAAAATTAAGCTACCCTATTGATTATATATATCTTGAGGATCTGTACAAAACATCCTCATCTCTACTCTGATCAGTAAGAAATGGTGTAATTAAATAAGAGACTTGAAAATTCATGCCCTTTGAACGCTAAAACTTTTCACTGGGTTCCAATAAAATAGAGGTTGGAAGTCAAACGAACGATCTCAGCAGATTTCAATCACACTCACCTTATCAGTGTTTTCTGTGAAGAAAAATCCCAAGATCATCACATACGCAAAAGGCAAGAAAAAGTTGAGGTGGGTGTAGTACTTGTTCTCCTTCATAAAAAAACTGGTGCTGAAAAATGGAAAAGACCTCTTCAGAGTAATTGGTATTCACAAAAGCACATATTGGGTCTCTCATTAAAATTCAAAGAATCCTCTGCAGACTTACTTCATCAGCGTTGAATTCTTTAACTGTAATCTTTCTGAGAAACTGGTATCCCTTTCAGAACTTCCTGCACAAGCTTATACATTCAGAGATTTCTTTCATAACCATAAAACTGAGAGTTGTTGAGGATAGTGCATAAATGTGGGTCACTTTTGTTCACAAATTATTATAGCTGGAACCTGGCTTCAAGCATCTGTGCTATAACAGTTTAACTTTACTATTGACTTTCAATGTCTTTCTACTGGGACATTATAGTACCCTGTCGTTGGCCTTGAAAGGCAGAGTTGAAGCAACCAGGCTCCTAAAGGACGAAAGTTGTGCTGAAGACATAAAACATGAAGTACCATCAGTAAGTGTTGTGACTGAATCACTTACCGATCACACAGGTAGAAATAAGCCATGATGAGACCCAGCTTGGACAAAGATGTGATGATTTCGTAGAAAGCTTCATTATAGTCCTTTTGCTGGCTACCCTGACCATTGCGTTGTCCGTTTTCTGGATGTGAGCATTTCGATAAGCATGTGACACCGAGTTTAAAAGAACGTTTTGAACAAATGTAGCAATGGCAGAGAAAGAATGGCGGGGGGGGGGGGGGGGGGGGGGGGGGGAGGAGGAGAGATTCCTGAAATAAGCTCCAGAAAGAGGTGACCAAAAGGGAAAAAGTCAGAAGAGCGGCATCAATCAAGCATGAACGTATCATCGCCCTCATTCAACATTGTAGTATGTCAAATTAAAAAAAGAAAAGAAAGAAAATCAAGTATGTTGTAGAGTTCGAAGAGGCACATTGATTGGTCTGAATCTAATTCCTTTCCTTAAGATAATAATGGATTTAGGACGAATTAAATGTTTTGTTTTGTATAAATAAAGAAGATGTATGGCATGAAATAAAACAGTTTTTCGCTTATCTTGACAATCACATATTTCGAAACTCTATAATGATGAATGACAGCGATGGCAAAGTGAAAATCAATAACATGTGTTAAATATGAAAAAATAAACAGAGACGTCTTAACTTGAGAACAGAGAAAAATGATAAGTTGTAAAAATACAGTACATAACAGTATCATCTCAAAATTACCACCAACACCAGCCTCAAAAGTAATTATTACTTTTAATCATCAAAGACTACAATCATTATCACAAAATAATTACACTTATTAAAACAATAAAAACATTAAGATGTTTTAGTTTACACTGTTTTCTCTTAGATCTCTACAAACTGGCAAAGAAATTCTCCTGTCATATTCAAAGAACAACAATTACTGTACCAGCTCTTGCTTTGCTCCCATTCCGCGAAACCTTGCGACGGTACAACATAAGGCCTGCACAGATACACATGCTGCAGAGATACAAAAACACAGATTTCAAGGAGATATTTGAACTTGTCAGTATTCTTTCTAATAATCAAGGAATGTTCGCCAGTAACATTAACTTCTGACTTTCAAATCAAAACCATACACTCCACGTTTTGCTTCATTTTCATTCATTGTATTCATGAGTTTTCTAAAGCTTCACTTTGAACACTCCCAATAGAACATTTCTGGATCTTGGGTCCAAGTTCCAAAGTGCTGTATTACTTAAAATTGTTGACTAATTGTTTTCTCCTTGGCACTACTTCCCGGTGACTGATTAATGTGGCATTACCACTGGATGAAAGCAGTACCTGCACATAAAGTTTTATCCTAATTTTACACTGATCCAAGCTAGGATATTTTGCACACCCTGTTTTGAAGTAGTTATGCCACCAAAAAAAAAAAGGCTAAATCCAGAAAAGGGTGGAAAACAAATGCTGAGAAGAATTCAGAAATGATCCAGTCTAAAAGAAGAGATGAGAAGCACTCACCAGACAAGGAATCCCGTGGCAGTAATAATCTGCAGTGTGGTGGCCCGCTCTGAGGTGTTACAGCAGGTTCCGTCATCATGGTTCATGTCATTGTTACAGTACATGTTGAGCAGCATCGTGATATCCTGGACAAAAAAACATTCATACAAGTCACATCCCCTTCAAAACGTTACAGAATAATACATGTTATCTAAAAAGTCAGAGCTGTAAATTAAAGTCTCCCTCTGACAGAGTATGGCTGAAATAAACAAATTCTAAACAACCCAAATTCAAAATTAGAACTTCTTACTGCATTAATAAGGACAGACACTGAACAGCATTATTCCGGTTTGTGCAACATCCCTATTTCTTCACAACACAAGAGACAAGTGCCTTAGAAACAAACTAAAGACAAATAGGAATAACAAAGCAGCAAGAAAACATTGGACCCGTGATTGTCAGAGGGACGAGAACCTCTTCATAAATAAATTTAAGATCTCTTTGTAAAGAAATTCAGCATGGAAATGCAGCACACCATTAACAAGTGAAATGCTGCTCTTTAAGTAAACTGATCAGTAAACTATGAGAATTTCTCTGTTATTTGATTGGATTTCTCGAGGACAAACCTTTTAAATTTCAAAACAACTTTCTCACTAAGGAAGAATTCTGCTTCTGAAACAGTCTTGACAGTTCATCTCTTTTTACCCACAATGAAACGTACAGGCCAAATAACCTTATATAGATAGTTACGTGTCACTTGCAGAGCAAAAATAAGAAAATGGGAGAGTAGTGTTTCTACTCTGCAGGCCAAAACGTTTCATAAGGCGAGGACACCGCCAGGCAAGTGGTGGGTCAGTTTGTAAACTCCTGACATAAAATGTGATTCACTTTCTTACAGAATATATTACCATAACTCCTACCACCCTTTCTACTTCACCTTCTCTTGCTAATCTAAATTCAATAAAACAACTGACTACATTTTTTTTTCTCCTATACTATGTGACTCCTATGTTATTAGCCTTGACTGTACAGTAAAAATACAAAATACATAAGACTGTAGATGGCAAGCATGATATTAAGACAAAAGTATGCTGTTTGTTTGAGGAGGTAAAATTTGTCAAACAGAGAGACTTACAATTTCCAGTGGTCTTTTCTGTATGTGCAGGCCATCATCTGACAATTCCTTCTTGAATCCCTGGGCCACTAGGCGAGAGGAGCTCCACAGCGTCACAGAGGAGTCCTTCCTAAGAAGTGAAGCCACAGACAGAGTTACAGCATAGAAAAGATAATTTCTGTCTTCAAGGGAAAGTCAACAATCAGTTCCACATACTTCATATTGTATGATTATTACTTTTAACTCTTGATTTCTTTTTAGTAAAATCTTGTTCTTTTGAAGGAAATTTTATCGTTTACATTGATAAATGTACTAAGGAACAGAGCTTCTAAAGTCATTCACCCAAAACTTTTTGATCCAAGATTACATTCACCTTTGACCAAAAATATCATTTGTTTTTTAGTGGTTCCACCTTTTATTCTTAACATTAAAAAAAAACAAAAAACATTGTTGGGAGAATATTCATTTGGAAAAAAGACAATGAAACACAATCTTCATAAAGTTCAGGATCCGGAACTTAGAGCAGTGTCCATGCCGTACCAGCAGCCAAAGAGAAAACCGTATACTATAAGCCTGCCCAATGCTTGAAGCAATTAGGAGAAAATTAGCAAAACCCTAGGCAGCGAGCCATAAAACTCTATGAGCCAGGAGGATCTTCAGTGATCAGAAGCTCTTTTACTAAGTACTGGGACATCCATTTCAAAATAAATTAGAAGAAAAAGACTAAACACAAATAAAAAGATCTCCTCCGCCAGCATCTAAACATGCCAAAAGCAAAACAAACACATTTCCTATTCAAATGACAATACAGGGAAAAGATATTTTGAATTATTTTTGTTTCCATCAAACTCAATCCAAAAAATTATTGCACGGCAAAATTACTATCAACCAAGTAACTTGTAATTAAAAACAGCCATGCAGTGGTGCACTGAAAAACCAATAGAAAGTACTCACAAAGTACTGATAGCTATCTTGTTATACTTGTCCACTTGCTCATTGGTGATCATGAGACGATTCTCGGAAAGCTTCTCCTCCTGGACTGGATCTAAATGAGAAAAATGCCAGACAAATAGTCAGCAGTTAAGATACAGTTGAGATGCTAATCACATTGCGCAACGGCAGTGGGATTTTAGTAGTAGCGGGGGGTTCCCCGCTGGGCGCCTTATCACGCCGGGGTCACGGGGGTCAGCTCCCTGTCGCCACTCTGTCTGGGTCGACTTAATTTTTGGTACTTTTCAACGTACAATTTTAGGTGTATCCTTGTATTTATGGTAATTCTTATTTAGGGCACCCAAAGCATGCATTTCTGCTCTTGAGACTCAGAAAAGAACGGACGTTGTAAGTTGTCTGGTTATTTCGTTAGACACACTGGAGTCGGCAACGCTAAATTGTAATTTTTTTGGGACAAGCGCGAATGAAAAAAAATTAATATAAAAAAAAGGCCTCGACAAAATCTGTCGAATTTTTGGAAAACGAACGACATAGCATTGGCGCAGATACTCAGAAAAGATGGTATCTGCGCATGTAATAGAAAGCAGTGATTTTGTAACTTTATCCATCGGGCAAACAATTCGCTATGAAGTAATTCCTCCGAATACAACTTTATGTGTCTAATATAATCGTGAATATTCGCATACTTTCTCGAAAGTTTATAAAAGTTACCATGAAGTTTCTCTATGAAAAGTACAAATCGATTTTAGTGCCAGAATACATCTTCAATGTAATACACGAACAGTATCTGTTACACTCCCGAAATTCCTTACTTGTCTTAAAACGGTAAGTCTAGCGGTTTTGTAAGTTGACTGAATAATAGGGATGACTTCTCGTAATTGGGTTATAAGAATAATTTCCAGCTTTCCAGGGACACTGAGTCAGCACCAGACTTTTCCAGCTTTATTTTTCGTTTCTAAGACCATTTGCAATAACTGACAATGTGACTGATTTCTTTACATTCATAATTGTGTCCGCGCATACAGTCGAACCTGCCCTGACGGCCACCTCTATAAGACGGCCACCTGTACAAACGGCCACTTTCCATTTCCCCCCTTGCGTTTTTTCTATATAATTTAACTGTGTAAAACGGGCACCTGTCCAACGCGGCCGCGGCCACAAAAATTTAACACACAACCCCAATAATACCTGTCTAAGACGGTCACCTTAGTGAATCCATTACGTTTTGTCATAAATTGTGCATTGGCCCCTGGCGTTGTGGGCGAGCCGTCATAATTCAATCACCTGTCGTTGTTGTTAGGTAGTCCCTCCAACCGATCATGTTGCGTAGGCCCCTCCCACTGTTGACCAATAGCTACCAATTTTCAGCTGCAGGTGAGTTAGCGTGTGATCCCTCATAACCCATAAGCCCCGCCCAGAACTCATACACAAATCGTAAGTGAGATGAGTGGTTACTGTTTACCCAGTCTGTAACAAAGTAACAAAGGACGTCAACATGAACTTGTTACAGAAGCGTGCCTCGTTCTCCGAGTGGTGGCGACCCATGTGTTTATTTTAACATGGCACTCGGTCTTCCTTGTCTGATACATTTCGTTTTATTGTCACCATTGTGCAAAATCAGCGACAAAATAAAAATTACAAACGAAATACAAACCAACAGCAACAACATCAACAAAGACAACAACAATGGGGCTACTTTCGATTGGGGCCTCAGATGGGAATGGTTTGTTTTCTTTATCTTGATCAGTCCTGCCTAAGACGGCCACCTGTCTTATGCGGCCACTTTTCTCCTTGACAATGGGTGGCCGTCTTACACAGGTTTGACTGTATTTCCTACAACAAAAACTAAAAGAATGAGTGTGTAAGCTGTCACTATTTTTATTCCATACAAGAAGTTTATTTTACTCATGTATTTACACGGTTTTGTGTGTTTTTATAATCGCTTATATTATATCTTTTTAGTTGTATGCAGGCTGCCACAGACACAGCCTGATTCATGAACAAACGCAGCGTAACTTTCTCTTGTTTAATAAGAGCTAACGCTGATCGTCTTTAGTTAAAAAATGCAGATGTGCATCTTTCTTCTCTTATAACTTGACTATTACTACTCACGTGGATTCAAGATTTCTCATGGCAAAAGACATGATATTCGTAGTCAGTTTAACACAGATTTTGGAGAAATCAGTCTTACCTTTATAAAATTAACAATCATTTATTCATAAGTTTGTAACTAAAATAGGACAAATTGGGTCCTCTACAAACACTTGTCTAGAACAAAAACTAAGGCAGAGAAATTAACCATTCTAACGCAGAATAAATCTCAAGACATTGAGCTTTTAGTACATCCACGTAACGGTTTGTCGTGTTGGATGGGGAAGAAGTTATATCGCTTTAAACATAGTCAAAAATGCGAACTTCCTAACCGACACCGGCAAAGTCGCTTTAGGGCTCATTAACCCCTTGACCCTGAACCGGGGAGCTCCGGTGGGCTGCTGAGTCACGCTAACTAAAGGTAACAGAATCGGGCGAAAAGTGAGGCTGTGATCAGCACCATAAATGTATTGCTTCCTTAGAAACAGATTAGGACAAATGTAACAACAAAAAAGTAGAAGTAGCTGAGATACCACAACCCTCAAAACACCACAAGCACATGGAATACAAATTCAGTCTAGCCCACACATATTGAAATTAGTACATCAAAAAGATTTCTGCGACCCGCTGATTTCACTATGTGCTTACTAGGCTGTAGACTAACAATACAAAAGTAATTGCATCTAAAGACTGTGTCCAGCTAAACATAATGTAGTAGTCTCATTAACAGGAGAGCAATGCTATTGTTATGACTATGACACAGCCAAGAAAAGCAAAACAGTAGGCAGGAACAATCTTTCAACCTCATCGTACACTGCAAGAAGTTCCACAAAGTCTCTTTGAATTTTTTTTGCTTTTTGAAAGGTGGCACCATTCAGACTGTTGGATGTGGGACACAGTATTTAGGTAGTGAACTATCTTGTGGAAAAAGAATAAGAGCAAAGGTAGTACTTAAAGAATTTCATTTAAAAAACCAAAAAAACTTCTTCTGTGCCAGTTGAGACATCTATATTATATCATACATAATGTGAAGGAGGCATTTTAAGGGTGCAAACCTTCAAGTAATACACAGTCTTCAATGTGACTGAACAATAGCTCAATATGTGAACTGCTAAAACTAGAGATTAAAATACCAGATTTGTCAAGATATGAAAAAAAGTGTAATCAGAGAGAAAAGACAATGACAAGAAAAATAAACATCAAAATAACATGGACCCCTTACCCTGCAGCATCCAAAAAACTTTTGAAGAATCCTTTAACTTCTCAAATTTCTTCTCAATCATTGAGAGGTTAGCTGGAATAAAAGAAAACACACAGACGTAGATATTCAGTTTGACTGTCAGCATAAAGCAGCAATCTTAAAATAAACATAACCCAAAGTTTTTCCCTTTCTTTTGGGCAACAAGTTGTCTTATCCAAACTTTCAGGTTATGTAAATCACTGAAATGAACCTTGAAATAAGTTTTCAATAGAAGGTAAAGGGATAAAGAAAATTATTTGAGAAAAGACAGAGAAAGCTCACAAAAAAGTCAATTTTTAAACACAGACTTTTATAAAGAAATTATTTTTTTTAACTCATTAAAAAAAACCTTTGACTCAGCAGGTTTTGCAAGTAGCCTCCTCATTTGCCCTGTCAGGCTCTGAAAAGACGTCTTTTCTTCTTCTTTGTCTTTGAAGGCATATTTAGTTTTTCACCCAGAAAAAAAAGGCAAATTACAAAACATGAAGAGAACTAGCCTGTCTATAAAACATTGTACCTTGTACTTTAATGTACTCTAATTCTAGCTTTAAGAATATGAATTGAAAATAATAAGCCTAGTTGCTAGTAGCAAACACCAACCTTGAAAATTGTTCAGAGCATCAATGCTTCCATTGAAAGTCTTGATGGCCCACTGAAAGTAGATTTAGTTTTTATATAATATAGCTACAGAATATCAAAGATCTTAGACAAATGGGGAAAAATGACACATCTCAACAATGAATACATAACAGAATTTGGAAATGACTTTGCAAATCAAACTTACACCAAATGATAACATTGATCCTTCACTGTTCATAAAAATGATGGACAAAAAAAGTTTCTCCACGAGAAACAAATGGAACTTCATAACATCATTCCAAACAAGAGTTTGCAGCTATTACAACCACAGTAGCACACTATTAGTGGCTAAAGCATCACGTCAATGCTTCTAGATAAAAGATAAATTGTCCACCAATGGAAGAATAAAGTTATTATGCAAAAGGGATGGGCAGGTAGCGGGACCCAGTACCGGAACTCCCGGTCCTACCGGAGGAGGTGTTAGTACTGGCACCAGGCCTCCAATACCGACACCAATGGTTTTTACCGGGCCCTGGAAGTGTGCAGTGTGTATTGACAATCATAAACAAAGTTGGCTTTAAGTTTAAATATGGCGTCAAATCAGGTTCTACGCAAGCCACTTCGTTTATTTTGATATGCGGATTCCAAAAATTGTAAAATATTTTAGCTGCGATAAATATTTAAAAAATTCTGCAGGCAAAGTTTAATCGCGCGCGCCGTCAAACTTCAAAGGGATTTTGCGTCACAGCTCGCGATACTGGTGGCTCTCGACACCCAGTGCCGGGACAGGCACTACAATGCAGGTGAAAGAAACCTAAGTTACATTTACAGAAAGAATGACACAGTTGGATTCAACAAGGATGGAAATTTTGTGACACAGACTCAAAATTAACTGACATTTACAAAAAAGCACAGAATTTCCCCATTTGTTCGCTTACTGTTGCACTTCCAGTGACAATCACATTAGGCCGAGCGCCAGGTTGATCACTCTTCAGCCACTTTTCATAGACCTCATACATTGATGCATTCACCATTGGGTGCCAAAGAAAGTCCTGTGAAGTAACCAAGTATACACACCTTCTAAATCAGTAGAACAAATACAATCATCACATTTAAATGAGTCAATAATAAAATCCTTATAAATTTTCACGCCTTGCAAAAGAAATAAGGAAATAAGTTTTGCAAACTATCATCTCACAGTAGCTCACAGGTGAAGGAAAGCAAGCAGAAAACAAATTAAAGAAGGTAAACCCTCTTGCTTTTACTAGATTTTAGAAAGTAGGTAGAGGAAGGAAACAAGAACAGAGAGAGGAAACTAGCCATGGAAGAGGAAGAACAGCAAGCCATGGACAAGATAGACATGGGGGGAGTGAAAAATGTTGGAACAGCCTTCCCAAAATCTATATTCTATTGCAACAGTGCAATAGTTTTAAAATTATCTTAAGCAAACCTTGCAAACACTTTAAGTAAACACATAGAAATTGTGCAAATGAAAGAAACCGTAAATGCACTAAAGAATCATGTGGCAGGCAGGTAAAACATGTCGAGTCAAGAAGAAAAATGTTGGCATTTTAAATGTGTTCATTCACATTGAACACACAATCAACAAAAAGGAGGTTGAGCGGGATGATACTCTCCTTGTATGAAAGTAAAATGCCATGAGAGGACATGCACAAAAGTATTGAACAAGATATGGTTGAAAACTAACAATCTCAATTTATTATCTAACTGGGGTATGGTAATTGAAAATGGTAAAAGATAGATCATCTAAGAAGTCAAGTTTCCATCCAAATTCTCATGGAACTGAAGTATTTGAGAGTAGAATGTTGAGCCCTGAAATGTTACAAATAAAGAGGGAGAAAAAAGGGATTCAATGTTTTTAACTCATCCTTCAAGCATTTTTTATATAATTTAAGTGACAGCCGGACAGTGAATCTAAAACGTAGCTTTTGGTTCCATTTTCAACTTTATAACATATGGAAAAAAATCTATTCTCATTTTGACTTGCAGTTAATGAACAAAGAATGTTACAAGAAGCTTACAATTTTTATATTGATCTTATTGTCCTGAAAATGCAGGTCATGATGAGGTTTCCCGTCAACTCCTTCCACTCCCTTCTCAGTGATGAGCTCCACCATCTGTCCATACAGCTGCCGAATACGAGAGTCGCCCACAAAGGCAAAATGATTGTGGCCACCCCAGTAGGACACATAGTGCATGCAGGTCCTTGCATCTCTGCAACAAACCAAAATAGAGCACATTAAAATTCAATATTCTAAGTTAAAGAACATTGTCTACATAATGTAACTGTTCATAGACTGCATCGAACAGCCTACATTCAATATAATTATATTTTGAAAGTATAAAAGGAACAAAAATATGGCTTTTAACAATCTCACAATTTGCATTGAGGAAAACTTTGCAGACATACTAAAATCTGCTACGTAAAAAAAGCGTGGCACGAACATAAACCAAAAGGTGGAAACGTACGTTTTCGTGTACTTGTGCATCATACATCCATACGGTTGCCATGTGTTACTACCAGGAAAACGTCCCTCACTCATCAGCCACTTACAGGAATCATTCCCTGGGGAAGCAAAAGAAATTGGTTTGGTCAGGAATAAGAATTTGCCATCAAGAACATACATTATTTATATTCAGACTTAGTGGATTCAGATAAAATAAAGTAAGATTTAACCTTCAAACTACCATGATAACTATTGTAACTTATTGTTTTCGATAGTTCTACAGCACACTTGTTGTCATTTTTTACAAAAATATTCATCATAAACGTCCTCAGATGCCATATATATGCAGACTCTAATTCACTACCCTGTGTGACCATTTTGTATTGAGCGACAGCGGCACTTCCAGAAGAGGAATTGTCGAGCCTCATTATAACAAACACTGAGTTCATGAGATCGACAAGGATCAGAACATAATAGTTCAAAAACAAATCATCTAGGAATGCTGCTGGTCAATTGTTAGGAAACAGCAAGAGAATATAGAAATATATTAAACAATGGTTAATATAGGAAATTGGGGGGGGGGATTGAATCTTACTTTTTTGTCTGAATAAAATGTTGAAATCTGGACAACTGCTGAAGAACATATATACAGTCTTAAAACACACTTGTGGTAGGCCTACTATTGCCTACTATAGTAGTGTTACAAAATCACGAGACTCAAATTCATACTTTCATCTGAATAATTTGTAAAACAAAAAAAGTAGGGAGCACATTCAAGATCAGGAAACCACCTCTGTAACATTCAATCCCATCCTTTCCTTTATCAACCAAGCAAGGCTGGTAATAGTACTTAGTAGACACGTGTTGGGCACTCTTCAATACCAATGCTTATTTACTGTACTATAAAAAGCTAAACGAAGTGTATACAGACCCGGTAACCGGGAACAAAGTCACAAAGTATACAGACCCGGTAGGGGAAGTCTTATGTAATTTCGGAAAGTTTCAGCGCCAAGACCCAGTAGAGTGGTTTTTTTGTTTTGTTTCTTGGTAAGTGTTTTACGGCGCTCGCAACTGCATAGGTAATATGAGTGCGCGGGACACATTAAACTTTTTCAGTTGGTAGAAAATTTTGAATTTTGCGCGGGTGGCGGCCGAAGCCTACTTTTATCGATTCTAGACCACCAAAGGATCTTTAACGTGCGCAACTTGCACACGGGCCCTCCGAGATTTTTCGCCCTTGTCTGAGAAGGTTAGGAGTAGATCTTTCCTACCAGAAGATCAGGGGTGTGGCTGAAAGACAGCAGTAAGAAGGTTCCAAGGAGTAGCAGCAGAAAGGTTGCAGAAAGAGTCAGGAGCCCAGAGGAGAAAATTTTTCGGTCACTACCCGGATTCGAACCTTTGAATGAGAGGTGAACACTTTAACCTCTAGGCCACGAAAGGCCCCCCCCCCCCCCCCCCGGTAGAGTGTGTGTGTGTGTGTGTGTGTGTGAGAGAGAGAGATTCAAGATTCAAAATGATTTATTGATTTGAAAGGCCTTTGGCCCATACATCCACATATTTTAACATATGGTTCGGCAATTACATACATTGGTGCAGCACATTGGATGTTTAACATAAATTGGACATGCACGCCCACATACACGTATGCACGCACGCACGCACGCACGCACGCACGCACGCACACACACACGCACACACGCACGTGACGCACGCACATACACTCATACACACTCCTGCTCACACACATACATACATACATACATACATACATACATACATACATACATACATACATACATACATACATACATACATACATACATACATACATACATACATACATACATACATACATACATACATACATACATACATACATACATACATACATACATACATACATACATACATACATACATACATACATACATACATACATACATACATACACATACATACATACATACATACATACATTCATATGATCAAATAGAAATAGAACTTCCACACAGTGCTATGAATGAGGCAGCGAGAGAAATCGGGACATGTTTCACTCTGAGAAGTGAATACCATTGTCTTTTTCATACACATATACATATAAAATAGTACCCATTACAGTAGATACAGAGTTACATATGCGAGTGAATATCTTTTCCCTAGGACAGACGTGTCCGTATAACAACATAATTTAGGAATGAGATTATCTTTTTAGAATGGACTTCATCTGAACAGACTAATATGCCATTGAGCTTAGACATTGGCTCTTCGGGAGTCTGAAGTCTGACGCACTCTGGTAAAAGCTGCTCTCGTATTTCATTATATCGTGAACATCTGAACAATACATGGAATTCATTTTCTACATACTTTTCATCACACTGGAGGCAACGATTACTGTCGACAATGCCCAACCGGAACAGATTATTTTTCAACGACAAACTGAAAGTTCTGAGTAATGCAAGGATCCTTCTACCTCTTGCAGAGATGGTGAATGAGAGGTACGGTGCAGGGCTTAACGTAGGGTGGAAGTCCAGGTACTCAGGATAAACGCCAGACACCCTAGAACGCCAGTCCTGGTGACTAATATTTATAAGTCTTTCCTTTACTTGAGATAGGAAAATATTCTTATCACCAACATTTTGAAAAATCCACGCATATCCAAACCCTATTGTACATAAAAGTTTCCTCATGTCAGTGGCCCAGCTGTACCGATTATTTTGGTCATGTGCATACGCTTGCAAATAGCATTTCTTAGCATACCTATTATTATCCATTACCAGTAATTTATACCAATATTTTATTGCTCGTAGATGATAAGTGGCATACAAATAATGACGTCCACATTCCCCCATTGCCAAAATGTTTGCGGACGTTCTACCAATGTTTAGGACGGCCTTGCAGAATTTAACGTGCACCTGCTCTATTTTATCATACTTCTTCACCCCCCATACTTCACAACCGTACAAAAGTAATGGCTTAATTTTGATGTCAAAAATGTTGAACAAAGTTTGGACATTCAAGTGCTCATATCTTTTACTTAGACATATCACTCTGGACGTGAGCCTTGTTGCTTTACAACATAAGTTTTCTATACATTTTGACCATAACAAGCGGGAAGAAAATATCACTCCTAGGTAGCTTATGTACGTGGTTACGTTTATGCTTTTCTTTTTGTAAAACCATTTTTCAGAGCTCTTTAGCACGCCTCCATTTCTAAAAACAATCATCTTTGTCTTTTCCAAATTTACAGACAGTCCCCACTGGTTACAATACTTCTCCAACAATTGATCTTCCTTTGCATGTCTACAATATTATCTGAAAATAAGCACATGTCAGCTGCGTACATTAAATTGCGGGTTTGTTCATCATTGCTTAATAGCTCAACTCCTTTAACATCACTGTTTTTCAACATCAATTCAAATTCAGAAACATACATATTGAACAAAAGTGGGCTAAGAATACATCCTTGACGAACACCAGACAAGCAATTAAAATATTCCGTAATTTCATGCTGGCCAGTACGGACAGAGCACATAACTTCCGAGTACATACTTTGTAGTAATGTTAACATTTTCCCTCTCAAGCCTCTTTTCCTCAAGACTGCCCACAGTTTTTCATGGGGGACGCAGTCAAATGCTTTGGAAAAATCAACAAAAAGTACATAGAAGCGCCCACGTTTCTTTGAAAGGTACTTTTGGACTATTGATTGAAGCGAGAAGATATGATCGATAGTGCTATAACCTTTACGAAACCCTGCTTGCGATTCGGGAATTACTTTGGTCTGCTCGGCCCATTCCGCTAGTCGTGAATGCAATATACTGGACATTATCTTGGATAATATATTTAGAAGTGCAATGCCCCTGTAGTTGTTTGCATCTGAAGGACTTCCTTTCTTGAGGATAGGATGTATTAGTGCTTGACACCACATTTTTGGGTACTTCCCTGTGTTAAAAATGACATTAAACAACAAACACAGGTATGTTATCAAGGAAGGACATGCATTAGAATAGAATTCAGGACCAATCCCGTCACATCCGCTAGCCTTTCCTTTCTTCAGTTTTCTCAGAACACTTTGAACTTCAGAATTCGTGATTTCATTATCATACAGGTATACATTTGTGTCTAAATCCTCATTTGTTAAAACTACTTCATGATCAACTTGTGTCTGTAATAAATCCTCTGATGATTCATTATTTCTGGGATTTAGCAAGTCTTTAAAATGACAATAAAATTGCTCTGGTGTGGCCTTAGCCGCATTAAATGAGCCATGAGTACGCATCATTTTATTAACCTTTTGCCAAAATGATTTTGATCGTTTATCAGTAAGGTCTTGTTTTAAACTTTCTACTGTCTGGGCATCACAGATTTTCTTTTTTAACGCACACATCTCCTTAAAGTCTTTCTTTGCTTCAAGGAATTTATCCAGATCATTTGAGCTGTTTGTTCTGTGGAAATCGTGGAGGTGAAGATATTTTACTCTCTTTAGCCTTTCACATTCGTTATCCCACCACAATGGTTGATGAAGCTTACTATGCTTTCCTTTCTTTTGCTTATTGGTTTGCATGTCTCCTGCTGATATTTTAATGCATTGTTGTAAAACATTACAGGCAGAGTCGACATCATTGAGACTTAAATATGACAAAAACATATCATGTTCTTCATTTAATAATGATTCAAGCTTTTCAACATAAGTGCTTCTCATTGTTTCTTTCCACGTGAGCCGCAACAACCGGCTAAGTTCAATCTCACATTCAACATTTTCACTAGTGTCATCATGTTCAATGTAAATTTTAAACAACACTGACAGTGGGAAATGATCTGAGTCTGGCCTTGGCATGACAGAAAAACTAAAGATCTTCTCAAACATTCCCTTGCTCACAATAACATAATCAACAATTGTTTTTCCCTTATTAGCAATGCATGTGACATTCCCTTCCTCATCTCCCGGTGTCCTGCCATTCGCAATGTACAATGAATTTTCTTTACAGAAACTAACTAATTGCTTTCCATAACTATTTGTAAAGGAAGCGTCCCGTGACTTTCTTTGGGTACAAATTTCTTCTAAAACATCATATGTTTCTTCAAAACCAGACAAAAGTTCATGTACGTTATTTTCAACAAA